CCAAAGGGCTACTTTTGGAATAATTAACTTGGAGACCTGACACCATCTCAAAGCACCTGATTATTCTTTTTAAATTGTTGATGCTTTCCAAATCCGCCTCTAAGAACAAAATTATGTCATCAGTGAAAAGCAAATGGTTCACTGGAATGGCTTCCCTTCCCACTTCAAATCCTCTCAACAGATAGAAACTAGCCGCCTTCTCAATTAAATAGCTTAGGACATCAGCCACCAGTGTGAAGTGAACAGAAATGGGGATAAGGGACATCCTTATTGGAGACCCGAGCTAGCCTGAAAATAGCCTTTAGGCTCTCCGTTTAACAGAATCAAAAACCAAGCGGAGCTGATGCAACCTTTTATCCACCTCACCCATCTGTCTCCAAAACCCCTCAGTGTCAAGATATTTAAGAGACACTCCCAATCAGTTTTATCATACGCTTTTTCCAAATCCAACTTGACAACCACTCCAGGTTTGCCCAACTGTCTTCTTTCTTCAATGCATTCGTTTGCCACCAAAATGCTGTCTATGATTTGCCTTCCTCTCACAAAAGTGTACTGGTTCTTGGAGATTAAATCCCCCAACACCCATCCGTCCGGGCCTGGAGCCCCATCTCCATCCATCCATGCTGAAAACAGCTTCTTTGACCTCCAGCTCTTCAAAATCTCTCTCTAACCAAGCCTCCTTCTCCTCCGACAAGACAGGTCCATCCCAACTGCTCAAAAAGTAACTTCTGCTAGTGCTCTTGGTGTAAAGATCCTTGAAATAAACTATTAAATTATCTGCAATTTCCTCTTGATCCTCCACTTCTCTTTGGTCTACCTTTAGTTTTGAGATGTAATTTTTCCTTCTTCTTCCCGAAGCATAATTGTGGAAGAACCTTGTGTTATTATCCCCTTCCTTCAGCCACTTTACTCTAGACCTCTGCCTCCAGTACACTTCCTCTCTCCTAACCACTTTATCCCACTCTCTTCATAGAGAATCCCTCCAGCTTCTACCTTCGCTGTCCATCACCCCATTCTGCTCCTCTTCATCTAGTGTCTCCATTTCCTGAATCATAGCAATTTTCTCTTCATTGAAAGTTTTGAATTCTTCCTTAACCCAAGATTTCAGCTTTCTTTTTAAATATTTCAGCTTTCTTTTTAAATATTTCAGCTTTTGTTGAAAGCAAAACCCATCCCAGCCTTCTACCTTACGTTCTTCCCACCATTTGGCTATATTAGACTTGAACTCCTTGTGTTCTGTCCATACTTTCTCCAATCAGAAGGGGGTTTTACCTTTTCTTAGCACTTCCGTTTGGAGCCTACTGGCCAGTGTCTGAGATACATCTGGTTTTTATCTCCTGAAACAAACTTGGGAAATGCTCCTCCCAATCTGCAGTAACCAGAAATCTATCAAGCGTACAGCTGATTGAATTTTCCTGAAGATTAGACCAGGTGAATCTTCCATGTAGAAGAAGAAGGTCACACAGGTTATGTCTGGCAACAAAATCAGAGAATTCTCTCATGCTTCTTGTTACCCATCTACTTCTGGAACTTTCATGGCTGAACCTAATAACGTTGAAGTCGCCTCCCACGCACCAAGGGAGGATGTCTTCAGCCTCATGCTAGGAGCCTAGCTCATCCCAGTCTTGCTCTGTTGGAAGGGGAGTTTGGCCCATACACCCCTGTCAAAATCCAATTGAAATCGTCTGATAAAGTCCTGAACCAAACAGATATAGAGAATTCTCCAGCATCTACCTCTATGCCTGACACCATCTCTTCTCTCCAGGCTATTAGGATTCCTCCAGCTGATCCATTGGCTGGTAAAGCTGCCCACTTTCTTCCCCTGATTCCCCAAATGGCCATTAAAATCTTCCTGTCCACCAATTCTTTCTTGGTCTCCTAGAGAATGATAATGTCTGGGTTTTCCCTTTTGAGAGTTTCTTTTACTACACTTCTTTTCAAGTTCCCTCCCAATCCCCTAACGTTCCAACTTAATATTTTCATCTAGGTTTTGGAATGCACTTTCCCTTACCTGTTCTATTCCCTGCACTTTTTGTCGTTCCATATTTTGCTCTACCATTCCCCATTGCAACCTTTTCAATTCTTTATTTATTCCCTTTCTTTTCCCCATTCCTTTCTTAAATCCATTTCTCTTGCTCCCTTTTCCCCATTCCTCTGTGTCACCCTGAAACTTTTCATTTGATTGTCTTTGAGATTCAGAGCCTCCCCCCGACTGCATAGAGTATGGAAGTAACCTTCAGTTGGGATAGCCGATCTCTTGAACCTGGTTCACACAAAGAATATCCCCACCAATTATCAAGAAACAGGCTAGGAACTCACTCCCCAAAACACTGCAAGGATAGCTTCAACAAAAGTTAAAATTAAAGACAGAGAAGGCAAAGAGGTTGGTGTTTGCTCCCTACTTTACACACAATCTCTGTCACTTCCTACTACCTCTTTAGAAATATGCGAGTGGCCCAATAATGGCAAATGGCACCTAGAAAACAATTCTCATGACAATGTTCGGGATTGAAGCAAATCTCTTATTTTTCTTGTAACTTTTGGGTAAAATCTCTAGGATACTTTCTTATGCATCAAAAAAATCTGAAAAAAGTTACCAAAAATCCTCTAAAACTCAGGCAATTTAAGAATGAAATAATTTATAATTATGAAAAAGGAAAGTTATTATTTTGAGATATTGGAAATTTACTGTTTATTGTAAACCTATGAGTTACCATTTATAGTAAAAAAATCAGATCTAATAACATGATCTCAAGAGAAGGCAAAATTTTAGATCAGGGAGATCAAATAACAAGACTCACAAGGGGGTGATTGCACACACGCACACGCAAAAAAAAATAACAAGAATTGAATGAATAGCAACCAAGAACAATAGAAAAAGAACAACCTCATCATCATCTAAGCCTTATCACAACCATATGGGATCAGCTACATGAATCCTGTTTCACCATTCTGTTCTGTTAGTGACATCCATTGTTAAACTATGAGCACTTAAATCATTCCTTACTACTTCACCCCATGTCCTTTTCAGTATGCCCTTAGCCCTTCTAGCCCCTTCAACTTTCAATAGATTGCTTCTTATAGGTGTTGTAGATGGTGTTCTATGCACACGACCAAACCATCTTAGACTACTTTCTCTCATTTTACCACCTATTGAAGCTACTCCTAGGTTCTTCTGAATTCCGAATGACTTCATTTCTGACCATATCCATTCTAGTTTTTTCACTCATCAATCTCAACATATGCATTTCTGCTACACTTTTTTTGGACATGTTTCTTCACTGCTACATTCATTTTTTGGACATGTCGTTTCTTGAGTGCCCAACACTCTGCTCCAGACAGCATTGCTGTCCTTACTACTATTTTATGGAATTTTCCTTTTAACTTGAGTGGCATTTGCTTATCACATAAGACTCCACTTGAACCCATCCTGCTCTAGTTCTATGGGCAACTTTCTCCTCAATCTCACAATTGAACCAAGGTAACAGATAAGGTCACATTGAGTTTATTATTATTATGAAAATTATAAAGCATACATTCTGTTTTGGTCCTACTTATTTTAAAACCTCTTGCTTCTAAGGTATTCGTCAATGAACTTAATTTTGCATTCAATCCTTCACTAGTTTCATCAATTAATACAATGTCATCAACAAACAACAAGCACCATGGGACCTCCTCCTGAATATTTAGCAAAAGAACAACCTATCAAAAAAAAAAAAACAATAGCAAAAGAACACACAGCAAAAGAGGCTGCGTACATCTGTCCATCCCCAGACCCCGCATTGGCGGGAGCCTCGTGCAATGGGCTAATCAATTTTATTAGTCAATGACTGAAAGGCATTACAAGCATCCATTGGAGAGGCATGAGATGCTACCTCTCCCAATAACAAGTTACATATTACATTTGAGACCAATACAAACAGTTTCTATTCAGCCCTTTGCTTAGCTAGAGCATTAGCCATCCCATTGGCTGATCTTTCCCATTGTATCTACATATTCATATTTCTAGTGAGCCATTTAAATTTCTTCATCTCATCTCTATACCACAAAATTATAGTCTGGTTCCATCATCCATCCCACCATCAGTTGTGAGTCCCCTTCAACCACCATATTTGATATATTCAACTCACTTGCAATCTATATTCCTTGTAGTTGTAGAAGCAATTCAGCTCTAGCAGAGTCACCCATTCCCACTGGGCCCGAGAACAAAGCCATAGAATTACCTTCTGCATTTTTCAACACCCCTCCTTATCCCAGAGGGGTCTGGGTTACCTTGGCTGCTTCCGTCAAATTTATCGCCACATAACCTTCTAGAGGAGGCACCACACCAAATTAACCTTTTCCTTCTTAGACAAGCTTCCAGACACCACCTCCCAATTTCTCCAAATATCATCAAAGGAGAACTTTTAGTTCTTTCATTGAAACACTTCTAAGAATCCAAATTTGTTTCTTTATCTTTCTTCAAGCTCCCAAAAAAAAATCTTGCAAAATCTTCACTGCCTAAAAAGAACAGACTCGACTTCTTTCCAACTTAAAAATCTATCTCAACATTAATCTTTTAATCTACATGAACAACCTCACCTAATGGGATGACCTCTTATCCCTTGCTGATCCAACTCTCCCTTGACTAATCTCTCTGAACCATCAACAAGGATCTTTTGCTTTTTTTTTTTTGCCTTTTTGTTATTATTTTGTTTCCAACTAGAGATTCCCAATAAAGCAATAAGAATGGTAAAACAAGAATTATTGATCCTCAAAACAAGACCTCATTCATTTGAGAATTTTACGTTGGTTCATTGGCTTCTGCAGTTGCAAACAAATACCTTTTGACATAAAAAAAAAACCAAAAAAGCCAAAAAAAGAAACATAAACAGACATTTTATGCCAGCTGACCAATGACAAGTAACTCCAAGATAAAGTTTCGAAATACAATACAACACAATACAATACCAATCCAGAAATAAAATGGTAAGATAAGAATCAACTTTGAATAGCATTACCATGTTGTGACACAAACTCGATGCACTGTGCTAGCTGCAACTAAAGCAATAGCTTCTGCTAATAAAACTGCAAGACAGAAGATAAATGAAGATGACAAGCATCAGTTCTTTTACTTTCCCGTTCCTCTTCATAAATAACTCAACTTAACTAAGCCTTGTCCCAACTATATGGGGCTGGCTTCTTTTTCATAAATAGACAGAAATAAATATGGTAGATCATAGACTATCACAGATAGGACAACAATTTGGAGGTTCGGTTCTGATTTGGACCCTATTCCAATTTCAGCCCATCTGCTAAAACACTTAACCTAAACCCAACAAATTAAATTCATTTGATTCTTTTTATGGGTACCATAATGCGTCTGGACTAATACCCATCCAAGTAGCTTGCCAAAATCATACTAATTAGTTGGATACATCTAGTTATATGCTATGATAAATCCAATGGTTCAGGCCACCCAAGTCACATTCAAAGGTCAAGATCATGATTTATGCCATCTAAGATTAATCTCATGATTTTGGATGGATGTACAGGTGTTGTATCAATAGCAAAACAATGATAAGCTGTGTACCAAGATCGAACTGAACTTTTTTTATAATTAACAGGGATTTCATTGAAAGAAAATAATATGTACAATTTTACATTCTATTTTACAAAGGTTCCAACTCTCAGCCACTCGAACATATTACAACTTAAACATTTGGTCCCTCACAACCCCTAGATTAGCTAGTGTCAACCATAGAATTGGCTGATCTTTGAACTACTGCACTTCCAAAATCATAGTCCTTGTCATAAGCCATCCTATTACTGTTAGAGAGTGTATGCCCTTAGCTCCAATCAGAATGATGTACATTATGACATTTAATGTAAATGAATAAAGTACATATTTGATTCATGTTATTATGGTGTGTTTCTATGTAATACCCTTAAACTGGACACATATGAGACTCGTGTTAGTTTAGAATCTTCATTCTTGGTCTGTAATTAATTATTTTTTAATTTTTAGATGGAATGTATAGGAATTCAATTCTAATATAATATTAATAGAAAATAGGTTTTCTATTTTAGTTCATTCGAAGATGAAGCAGAAAGCGCAGAGGAGAGATTTTCGCAGATATGGGTTCAGCCATCTGCGATTTGCAGTTTTGGAAACTGCATGCTGCGATCTAAATTTTGTTTTGCAGGATAGCAGTCCTACGAACAGCCCTCCTACTGATTCTTGATTGTCTTGTATCAGTTATTTATTTTCAAATCAATTTTTCTTGAATTAAATATTGAATTAAAAATCAAACCCTAAACCCATTCGAACCAGATTGGACCAAATTGGTTGGACCGAATCTGTGGTTCGATGGGGGCTGTTCTCAGCCCTAATTTTTCACTCATGGGTCCAGGAGTTGATGGTTAATTGCAAGATGCAATTCAGCCCACATCTATAAAACCCAGTTTTAAAATGTTAAAACTACTTTAGCCCATTTCAACATAAGTTATATGGGCCAAATTGCTCCTTGCAATTCAGCCCATATACCTAGATAATATTAATTAGTAATATTATGAATTTATACGGGCTTTAATTATGGGTTTTACAGTTATTTAATTGATTGGATCAATTGTAGTTTTCATGCATGTGATGTATGGATGTGTGATGTGCAACGCTCATGGGCCATAAGTACTTGGCCCATGCTGAATCGAATAAGTGGCTCTTACACACACCATGGCTGAATGCACATCATTGCCATGGTGTCCTTAATTTCATTGGATGATCTCCCTTCATGGTGGGCCCCACACCAGCTTCCTTCCCAAGAGGAATCGTGCGGAACCCTAGCCGTTTAGGGCCCATCTAAATCTGGCTTTATGAAAGTCAGTGGGAACCACTTTAGTTTGACCTAAATTAAAATAGGGCGTAATATTTCGTTCCCTCCACTGAAATATGAGTGCATGTGATGGGAAGATTCATATGATAAACTCTTTAAAGGCCTTCCATCATTAACATGAAGATGGGTCCTTCAGTAATGAGGAAATGCACCATAAAATTGGGCTATCCATTTACTGTTGGATTGTTTCATAAGATGATAGGGGCGTCATAGACCGATGTGGGAGGGGCCTATCCTAAAATGGAAGACTCTCTCACGGTACCTTGGCGTTCACGAATATGATGAATAAGCACTCACTGGACAGAAAGATTTAACCTAAAATGGCAATAAACTTTGTCTGATAGAGGCCAAAATGAAAGCTCATAAGATGAGTGAATGTGATCCTTCACAGAAAGGTGGTGGGATTATGCAGCTGAAACATTTGGCTCCATGCACCCTATGTGATTTCTCACATTTCCAGAGACAATTCGCAGTCTCCGTCACTAAGATAGGAGAGAAATCTCAGAGATGAATAAATGGAAATGGAACATAAATTAAAAGCCATATCTATGTAGATAACATGAATTAAATAAGGTTGTGGACTAATATTTGTTTTGCCCTTTATCAGAAATGGCAAACAGTCAATTCACTAAACTGTTGGACGACAACAAACTTAAAGGCCCAAATTATACTGACTGGTTCCATAACCTTATGCTGGTCCTAACGTCCAAGAAATTGGACAATATTGCAAAAAACCTGCTCTGGATCGTTCGAATGACAGGGCTTCTGAGACCAGACGAAGAGAATATCAAGAATGGGAGGAGAAAAATTCTCTTGCCCAATGTTGTATTATAGCCCCTTCGGATAATCCAATAGAGGGACAATTCGATAAGATCAAAGTGTCCAAAGACATATTGGATAGTCTAAAAACTATGTATGAGGAGCAGAACTGTTCTACTTGTCAGAAGGTCTTAAAGTTGTTTATGACTGCACAGATGACCGAGAACCAACTGGTTCATGACCATTGTCTGAAGATGATGGGTTATATTAATGAACTAGAGGCTCTCGGGTCAGGGATAGACCATGACACTAAAATTGATGCTATCCTCAATTCCCTGCCTCCCTCCTTCAATCAGTTTACAATGAACTATAACATGAATAAACTAAATGTTAGCCTTCAGGAACTTAGCAATATGTTGCAAAGGGCTGAAAAACTGATTAAGAAAGATAAGCCGATAGCCATGCTTGTTGAAGGTGGCAAATCAAACAAGAGAAAGCAGAAGACTAAAGGAAAGACTCAGAAGAAAAGTAGCAAAGCTAAGAAGCAGAAGAAGGATAAGGCATCGGATGCCTGTCACTTCTACAAACAAGTCAGCCACTGGAAGAGGAACTGTCATCAATTTCTGGAAACTAAGAAGAAAGGTAATTTCGAATCTTTTATTATAGAGACCAATTTGTTGGTCACTTCTGCTTCCTGGTGTATTGACTCCGGGGCTTCAACTCATGCGTGTAACTCACTACAGGGGTTTAGGATAAGCAGAAGACTGTGTGACGGAGAAGTGACGCTCTATTTGGGAACTTCTGCAACAGTTGCAGCTACAGCCATAGGAACTATAGAATTAGTTTTCAGAGAAGGAATTATTATACTGAAAAATTGTCTTTTCGTACCAAATTTAATAAGAAATGTGATTTCTATATCAAAATTGTGCATGGATAGTTATTCTATCTTATTCAGTCGTGATTACTATTGAACGGAATAACAAATTCCTCGCATACGGAGAACTTGAGAATGGTCTCTATGTTCTCCATCCTTCTCTGGAAACGAACATTGCCGAAACTACGTCGAAAATAATCCCAAAGAAGAGGACCTGTGATACAGTGAATCTCACGTGCATGTGGCATTACCGACTTAACCACATTAATATAGATCGTATCACAAGGTTGGTAAAAGATGGTCCTTTAGATTTTCTAACTGTAAAAGATCTTCCAACTTGTGAACCTTGCCTTCAAGGTAAGATGATGAAAAGGCCATTTAACGGTAAGCCTGAAAGATGTACAGGCACACTTGACCTTATACATATTGATGTATGTGGTCCCCTGAATGTTAGGGCACATAACCAACATGTTTATTTCATAACCTTTACCGATGATTATTCACGGTATGGTTACGTATACCTAATGCTACATAAGTCTGAATCTTTTGAAAAGTTCAAAGAATTCAGACAAGAGGTCGAAAAACGGTTAGAGAGAGAAATTAAGACAACTAGCGCTTCCTGCTACAACACAACTAAACGGTGTGTCAAAAAGGAGGAACCGGACTTTATTGGATATGGTCCGATCACTTCTCGTACACTCAGAGTAACCCACATCCTTTTAGGGTTAAGCATTAGAGACTGCGATATACGTGCTGAACCGGGTTCCAACCAAATCCGTTCCGAAGACTCCCTATCAGCTTTGGACTGATAAGAAACCAAGTGTAAAACACTTGAAGATTTGGGGTTGTCCGGCACATGTTAAAAGAACAGGTGCTGACAAATTGGAATCCAAGACCAGTCGTTGCCTATTTATAGGCTACCCCAAGGGCTCTGTGGATTACTTATCCTATTATCCAAAAGAGCAAAAGGTGTTTTACAGTCGAAATGCCTACTTCCTAGAAGAAGATTACATCATGGATAATCGTCATCAGGAAGTTGTTCGTGATATGGAAAGCCCAGGAGTAGTGGGAGATGTCCCACGAGCTCCAAAAAATAACCAAACTAGGAGATCTACCCGGGTTTCTAGGCCTCCAATTCGTTTCGGCTATGACAAAGAAAGTTACTTGGTGGAAGCCACGACCAGAGAAGAGGATCCCGTGACTTATACGGAAGTTATGTTGGACATAGATTCCTTGAAGTGGGTAGATGCCATGAGAGCTGAGATGGACTCAATGGAGACCAATGGAGTCTGGACTCTGATAGATCCGCCCCCTGGGGTAAAAGCAATTGGTTGCAAATGGATCTATAAGAGGAAGAAGGGCCCCGATGGTAAGGTTGAGACCTACAAGGCTTGTCTTAGGGCGAAGGGGTACACTCAGAAAGAAGGAATCAATTATGAGAAAATGTTTTCGCCCGTGGCCATGCTTAAATCCATTAGGATCCTGCAAGTTGAAGCAGCATACCATGATTACGAGATTTGGCAAATGGATGACAAAACTGCATTCTTGAATGGTAATCTTAC